ATACGTCCAGTATACCGGCGGTAACCATACGGTATGTCACTGTATACCGTCAGTATAACCAACGATATCGTGGTGTTTTGTCATTATTAACACGTAGAACAGGAGTTCAAAACTACTTTTCAACTTTCCTTTTATGGTTGAGCACTTGTAAGCAGAGACAGGCTCCCTTGCTGCGATATATATTGCATTCAACCGTAATATGCTCTAGATGATAAGCACTCTGAGATTAGGATATTCTTTATAATTATGAACATGCGATAGACAACTGAATGTGTGCATTATAACAAAATCTCAATAGCAATTAACGTGAGCCATAAACAGAGATTTGAAGTGGTTAGTGTCAGTATATCTTACAATAATATAAAAAACAGATGGAAGAAGAGAGCGTTACTGTTCAATTTCTTGTGCAGCATGGATACCGTTTAATTAGTTGTTGGATTCCTTCTTCGAAAATGCTCTCAGTTTTTTGCTCACATTGATGCTTGATTTATCCGGAGAGAAATAAATGTGTCAATGGTTGGATTTAGACATGTGCCATCCTACCGGAAAGTTGGGTATGGGTCGGATTTTTTAAATTTTACCCTGAAAAAAGTGATGCCACTAATTGTTATGTAGAAGACATAAATCAGATAAGAAAATCTGTCAGTCACCGACATACATGTGTACTGTTTTGCCCTTTTGCGTTTTTGGGTACTCCGGTTGGATGTGGTCTTTTCTGAATCTTGATTCGATGTATCGTACGATGGCACATATTTTAAATGCGTACGCGTTACTAATCTTAGAGATAAACAATTGTCGATTCCTACAGAAGAAATAAAAGATGTTTTTCTCGAAAACTGTCAAATAAACTAAACACGATCATTTCCGCCATTTCTCGGCTATCAAACATATTTCACACCGATGCTGTATTCCGACGAGCTGCTATGATACTCTATTCGATTAACTACTGATGAGGTTTTATGTCTCAGAAAAGAAAATTTAGCCGTATGAGACACAGCTCTACTAATCGGTCAAACTGAATGAACACGCGAAGTCTTAACTCCTATCTCCATAGTTGTTAAGTCGATGAAAAAGAGGTATCATAGGAATTCTGTTCCATTTAGTGCAAGCTGATATGACACAAAATGAAAGGTCCAACAAAACGCAGAACGCCGCAGAATCTCTTGATCTTGAATCTGACGCTACTCAACCACAACCAAGGCTACTTGCTGGTAATGATGAAAATTCGTCGCAACCTGAATATTCGTCATCGGTGTATCAGTCTGGCATATTACAGCAGTACATAGTGAGAAGTAAACTACCAATGTCCAACACGTGTTTTCCAACTCGAGAGTCTAGTAAGGTTGAAGAAAATATGAACAATGTTTTGTACAATCAAAGTTTAGCTGGAAGTTTACTTTTGACGTCAGTATGTTTGTGGAACATATTTTATTATATAGAACATGGCTGCTTTCAAGAATTTCGTAAATTACTAGAATTACACTATGTAGAAGCTGTACAAATGAGAAATGAAAAAGACCAAGTAAGAAAATATTTCAGTATTCATACTTCCCGTCTCATTTAAATAATTCAGTTTGTTTTGACCGATTCGAGCATAAATATATGTAGTTGTCTATCGTTGTTCCGTTAGAAAAAAAGAATACATTTCGACGCTAGTCTATTTTTAGTTGTCTAGTTGAATAGATATTCCAAATTTGGTTAGTTTCAAAAAACAAAAAAAATTGGTTAAAAAGAATTTTTTAAACTATTACTAATACAAGGCGTCTAGATCTGCATACCCTAGTGAAGCTTTATTTCTCAAGCACATGACTTTCTTGCATTTCTTGAGTAAGAATCTCATGGCGTGGAGACATTTGTTACTCAAGCAAAACGCATGTTTTCCGATGTCATGCGCTTGGCTTTCTTGACTCATGTGCTTGAGTTTTGTATTTCAAGAAACTCATGCGCATGAGGTTCTTATCTCAAGCGCTTGAATATCTCATGCGCTTGGCTTTCTTGAGCCAGACTTTTCTCTGTCTTGTCTTTTCGCTCTGTTTTGACCAATGAAGTTCGAAATTTTGATTTCGTTCTTTCAATGTGAATATATACAAATGACTGGATATGTCTGTGTATAGAGCAGGCATGTGGACGTCATATACATTCAAGAGAATAAAGCACGTTGTGTGCACAGCCATTTCTTCTTTTTTTAACGTCCCAGTCAAAAAGGAATATCAAGAGGAGGAGTATCATGGAGCCCTCTTTATGGAACAAAAAGAGTGCTCCAACTGAAAAGGAGTACTCCAAAAGCCACAACGGAGTATCTACAAAAAATGAGTACTCCGGAATGCTGCTTTTTCTGAAGTACTCCGCAGCACCTCAGCTGCACTTTATAAAAAAGGAGTGATCCAAATCACTCCAAAAAAGAAGTACTTATGAGTAGGCCTAATAAGTGATAATTCTGTAAGTCTTATTCGAAGAGAGTACTCAAGAGTACTTCTTTTTTAGAGTGCTTTGGAGCACTCCTTTTTATAAAGTGCAGCTGAGGTACTGCGGAGCACTTCAAAAAAAGCAGCACTCAGGAGTACTCATTTTTTGTGGGTACTCCGTTGTAGCTTTTGGAGTACTTCTTTTGAGTTGGGGCACTCTTTTTGTTTTTCCCAAAAAGAGTGCTTCATGATACTCCTCCTCGTGATATTTTTTTTCACTGGAAAGTACACAGCAATTTGAGACGAAGAAAGAGAGAGAGTTAAATCATCCTGTGTTTTCCTGTCACAAAACTGAACTATCTTTCTCATTAACAGTTATGAAAAGTCTCTCTTCTTATATAATGTACCGAATCTAACGTTGTTTCCCCGTTGTGTAGGCTCAGTTAAAAAATATTGACTGTGCAATATCTTCAAATAAAAATGCACAAAAGTGAGACATGCACCAAATGGTTGATGTTTATCATTATAATTGTGAGTTTCCTCGGTGTAAGACGGCTTTGCAATTTGCGGCTTCAAGGATGTAGCAAGTATCAGTTCGATCCTGTTTGATGCACAGAGAATCGGATGCCAAGCTATACCGCCTCATTCACAGAATGCTAGATTGGCTCTAGCAACGAACTGATATTAGCGTCTAGTATTTACGCATACGCTTCTCTGTAAGTCCAAGCGTGAATGTTTTTTTCACATACGGTAAATGTCACCTTATCGGTAAAACTCACAGGCGTACCTTAAAAGACATCAATCTTTCTCACTTTTATTTCGAGATTAAATTCCAGTCACATGTCGAACCAAAACTGAGAAATACAACGCGGAGCCAACTTAGTCAATCTGAAAGGAACATTTTTCTCGAACATGGTGTTAAATTTTTCGGAATGGCTATTGCCACTCCCTCGGCGTGTCATCAAGGAGCTATTGCCACTCCTTCGGCGTGTCATCAAGGAGCTATTGCCACTCCCTCGGCGTGTCAACAAGGAGCTATTGCCACGCCCGGGCGTGTCAACAAGGAGCTATTGCCACGCCCGGCGTGTCATCAAAGAGCTATTGCCATTCCGTGGGCGTGTCAACAAGGAGCTATTGCCACGCCCGGCGTGTCATCAAGGAGCTATTGCCACTCCGTGGGCGTGTCAACAAGGAGCTATTACCACTCCTTTGTCTATGAAGACATAGTGCCTCGTTTCTCACACTAATCCCAACTGGTACATACGTGCAGGAGTCAAAAGTTGAATTCAACTATTAATAGTTGAAAAATTATTTCGATTATTGAACTAGTCACTTATTCAACTATTCATTCAACTCGTTACTTCTGAAAATGAATAAAATAGAAACTATTCGACTTTCAGATATTCAGTTGCAAAAAACGTTCCATACTTATCCAGTTTTGCATTGGAGGTGGTAAATTTTCCACTTGAACACGAATGAGGCAGGAGGTCGGGACGGAGGGGAGTAGGGGTGGTGAGAGTGAATGTAGAATTGAATTAACACTTGAATAATTGAATAGCTGAATAGTTGGAATAGTTGAATTGAACTTTTGACTTCTACACTACTCAACTAGTAATATTTATTAATATTATGTATATAGTATTTATATTAATATTTATTTTTTCAGGAAAGCTGTATAGTGAAAAAGTAGTGAAGAGAAAAGACGGATGGCTTTCGAATTGTTTTCCAAAGTCTTGAAGTGAAGCTCTTTGGAAACGTTGAAGAAATAAAGATAAATCATGCCTTTATATAAGAAAATATCTATCGGAAGAAAAATGTTAATCTATGCGGACGGGTATATTTTTTGATAAAAGTGAAATATAGGTATGAATCCCAACAGAGAAGACTATATAAATATTATTTTCTAATGAAGATAAATCTCCAGGCTCATTTTCAAGAATTGGGTATAAAAGAAAATTAGAGAAAAAAAAAGCAAAATATTATTTCTAGTTATACTCAGTTAGTCTGTGAAAATGTATAAAACTGCTTGCCTCAAGAAAAATATTCAGAAGATTTCTTCATCTTAGCACCTTGTTGACATGCCCAAGGAGTGGCAATAGCTCCTTAATGACACGCCCGGGCGTGGCAATAGCTTCTTGTTGACCCGCCGAAGGAGTGGCAATAGCTTCCTGTTGACACACACAGGGAGTGGCAATAGCTCCTTGTTGACACTCCTGGGAGTGTCAATAGACTCACCCTTTTTTTAGAGGATGGAGTGAATAATAGAAAGTCTAAATTGCTGTGTACTCGCTTTGAACTGTCATGAACTTTTCATTGATAATGACTTCTTTTCCTTTGTAGATAAAGGTTATGGCATAGTGAGAGTGCCGGATGGTCGAGAAAGACTAAAAAACTGATTGCATCATGTTCTCGAAGAAACGTCCGAGTAAAACATGGTGTAATCAACTCTAAAAAACGAAGCTAGAGCTATTTAAAACGCGGAAAATCGATAATGCATGACTTGCTTAGGGTATGCACATGAATTTCTTGAGATATGCACAGGCCTTTCTTGAGTTAAGTACATGAGTTTCTTGAGGTATGCACATTGTTTTAGATATTTCTCTCCTCATGCACATACTTCAAGCAACTCAAGTGCATGAGACAAGAAAGTCAAGCACATACCTCAAGCATTTTGCATGAGTAAGAAATTCATGTTCATGGAGACAAATCTTGAGGTATGTGCTTGCTCATGTCCTTGAGAAAAAAAGCTTCACTAGGGTAGTTTCTATCCCCTGTTGTAAAGTCAATAGATGGTAGCGACGTGATAGAGCAACCATCCAACAAAATTTGTAAAAATGAAGTACAGTTCTTGTGATCACAAGTTTTCGGAGACCACTGACCATGCATGACTGTAAAGTTGCATAGTCAACGGCTGAATGGTAGGTTGCTAAGCCAAGAACGCAGCATTAACTAGATATGAGATGGTGCTCGTGAAAACCCACTATCGTTCACACATTTCATAATACGTAGACGACCTTTCTTTCCTTCGTATATATATATAACTAACGTTTGACTACAGAACGATGAAAATGAAAAGTGAAAGTTTCATTATTCATTCGCGTTTTGTCTACAGAACAGACGTTACAGAAAAGAAAAGAAATCTCGCTTGATGTTACATACAGCGAACGCAAAAGTATAACGTAGTCATTCATCTAGACATGGGCGAGACCGGAACAGGGACCAAAAAAGCGTTTTTTACCAGGATTGGGACCGGGACCGACACTAGAACTAAAGTTTCTCCATGCTTAAATAGAAACGTTGTAGAAAATCATTAGGAAGTCTTAATGTTCGATCTTATGTAACTGGGCATGCGCCGGTTATTTTGCTTATATGATCAGAGGAAGAAGCATGCGGCATACCTCATCTATTCAGCGACAAATAACAGATAACTGTAGATTAGAAACTCCTGAACTTTCTGGCATAAACCAACTATTTTTCCTTGTGAGCAGAATTGCTTTAAGATCGGGACCATAAAAACCTTCCGGAACCAGAACCAAAACAGCTTTACGGGACCGGGGCGGGACCACAACAACTTTAATGGACCGGGACCGGAATGAGACTGAAAAACATTGATCCCGCTCGTATCTACATTCATCTCATCTTTAATTTCAACCATCTTTATAACCGATCTTTTCTTCGTCTAAATATGCCTCTTTTTAGTCGCATAACTAAGAGACTTCTTCCTTTGAAAGATCTATTCCGATCAACGGTCTGATTCTTTTTCTGTGTTGAAGAACAGGTAGACATATTTGGCGGACAACTATCGTTGCACATCTGTAATAACGGTATAATATTTCTATTCGGTTCTGATACAACTACGCAGAACCTGCTGATCTTTTGAGAAAGCAACGACGTTAGTATGATAGTATTTGAACACTTATTATGAATCGGCAGAATTTTATGAGAATTTGGTATAGTACAAGCAGTGAGAGACACTGCGGTGCGAATGAGACACGGCTATAAGAATTCCTCAGAACTTCCTGAAATTGTCGAACCTTACACCGCCCTCCTAAAAAAAATGCATATTAAAACAGAACATCATAAATCAGTGTTGTTATTTTTCGTTGCTCTATCGGGAATGGAGCCGACGGGCGGTGAGTGTCATTGAATACATGCGTCTAAACTAGTTGTTTTTTTAGACGATCTTGCATGTTGCTGTCATACAATCACTTGCTTATGTATGGATTCGATTGCTGTTGATGAGAGAAGTTAATTCATGTGCTAAAGACAAAGACGGTTACACAGCCGCTCATTATGCCGCTGAAAAAGATGATTTAGAAATGTTGAAAGCGCTCACCATGAAGTTTCATGACAAAGTTAAAACACTACCATCTAGCAGTGTAGAAAAAATTTACGCTAATGGTATGGAAGCACTCACAATAACCGAAAAGTCTGGTAAATTTTAACATCGGCTCATTTAGCCTAAAAATAAATTCTTGTTTATTTATATAAGGTATGACGGTTTTCATGTTAGCTTGCAATAAAAGAGCAATGAAGTGCGTTAGATACCTGCATGAACAACAACCACATACCAATGTAAATCAGACGGTAAGCTCTCCAATTACAGGCTGAACGAGATTAAGTCTATATAGCGAAATCTAATGAAATTATTATAACGGGCAACGCTTTTAACCCTAACACGCCGGCATGGGGTCCGCTCGAATCCCAACCAGTTTTATTTTAATGTTGTACGTACACAATATTAGATCACAATTTGTCCATTTAGATGTGCCGTAGTAAAGAGTAGTAGAGTACGCTGATAACATCAATCGGCCATACCCAGTCATTGTTGATGTGATAGACCTCCCTAAATTACATGTGAACGCTTATTTCCCATGTAAGGTCCCACATCACAATACTCAATTTCGCTTTCCCATTTCTGTTCTATGCATTTCAATTTTGCATTCTGTATATCTCTTCGTTTTTGAGAACGTTCTAGAAGTTTTCAGAACTTTATGTTTGTCATGCTATAGCAGTTTCGGGACCGTTTTGGTTCTTTCCAGAACATCGTGCTCAGCGATAAAAAGTCCATTACTATTAGTGGAAATGCGCTCTTCTGTTCATTCTGTATTCTATTCTCGCATTCTTCGGTGCACTTTGAAACGCGATCAACACCTTGCTTATTCGTCGGTCACTCTGAATCTTCACCACAAACGTTTTCTACACCGAAAAATGCGCTCAAGAAAGCTGTCTGATTCTAACCAGCCAAAACATTGGTACAAATGCATCGAAGATTTCGATGAAGAATCCGGCGACGATGGTGGCGATTTGGGTAACAAAGCAAAGGGCTCGGAAGTACCAGGACAGCTCCGACGAACCGGAGCATGATGTAGCAGGTGAGAAGGACTCACATGCACATATCCTATAAAAGCAGTGTAAAAGTGTATGAACACTCTTCTTATAGATTTTTCGGATGTGATCTTTTCAATGGCGCGATTTACAAAGGTCAAAGGTACTTATATATGGGTTCTCTGAGATCCGAGTTTCTTGAAACCCAAATTAAAAGTGTTTTGAATTTTATAAAGCACACTATTGGAAACATCACATCTGAAACCTATAAAAAGGATTTTGTTAGGCCCTTGATTCTTGAAGGTAAGAATGAATACATGGACGAAATGTGGTCGATGATCAGTGGACAACCCATAGCGGGCAACAGTCATGAAGAATGGCATTAAAGAATTGCTACGATTTGCAGATTCGTCGATGTAGCAAGTCTAAATGAAAGAATTAAGGAAGAAAAACTGCCTTCAATTAGAGGTTTATGGGCAATATTCTTGTCACGGCTGCAAATATGCAACACACCTAGTGGGTTATTGACATTCAATAAGCAACTCATCCAGACTCGCAGTCGTTTCAACTTCGGCCAGTACATACCCAGAAAGCTCGGCAAGTGTTGGTTGCAAGTCTTTGGGTGTTGCTACTCAAGCACAGCATATCTGTTGAATGTTAAAGTTTATATTGAGCAGCATGGCTTGATGGTTATGCTGTTCATCACGTACTTCAAGGGTACTGTGTTCGAACCTCCGCGCTCTCAGGTTACTCTCTTTTTCATTATGATCGATGTTTCTGGGATTGCTGCTTTTATGGTATGGATCAGGAAAAATTCACAATAGAAAACGGCACCGCCGACGCTTATTTTTGCTGCAATTAGATCACAATCTCGGTGATGCGTACTTGGACACTCGTCGGCAGCATCGGCAGACAGTATAAAGGAATGTTCGATTGGCACTGCAAGCTATTGAACATCTGTTATTGATTCGCTGCTCGCTCCTGCATCAGCAAGTGGATGGAAAGCAACGTTGCCGACGAACGGATAAATATAACTTAAAAACAGTTGCCGTTCTGTCTGTTCTTCTTGCAGTGAAATCTCCTATAAAGCTTCCACAGTTCCAATATAGCCTAATATTGACTTCTTATATTGTTCCTGTATTATCCCAGGTGGGATACAAGCGACTGTTCCATAGGTTGGCGCGTGAGGGTTAAAAGGTAACTTTCTAGTGATCAGAAATTTCCAACGTCAACTGAATTCAGTAAATATTCTAAGTAAAAGAATGGTTAACAATAGCGATGTTATTTCATGACAAAACAGTTGAAAAACCAGACTTTTGATGCTAATTAACATAATAGTGCTTTGACCTTTCATTCAAGCCAATATCAATCAGAGTGATTTCGTGTTTTTTTAGGATATTTTTGGTGATACAGCACTGCATTATGTTATTGCGCATAACCATAAAAGTCTAACAGAATTTCTCATTATTGAATGTCAGTGCGATGTCAATGGTGGTAGTGAAAAACGTCCAAGTCCATTAGATATAGCTATATTTAATCAAAATAAAGAATTTGCGAATCTTTTATTGTCAAAAAATGGAAAAAGTCGATTTCAAATTAAACACGAAAGTAAAAAGTGTAAAATATTTGAAGACGATCGTCGTCTCGGTATAGAACGTTTATCGATTGAACCAGTGAGTGCCCGACCCGTGAAGGTAGAATTTGATACCGATGATTTTCTATTTGATCAAAGGATGGAAGTGATGGCTGAAAAAAAGATATATGAAATAAGTAAGGCAGCTTTAGAACAAATGAAACTGAAAGATTATCCAATTGCACTGAAATATCGTCAGGAAGAACAAAATCTTTTAATAAAATATTATGGTCGTTTACACGTTCATGTAGCAGATTCCTATAATAACCTGGCACTTGTTCATCATTTACTAGGTGACCACCAAAAAGCTATTATTAATTATGACAATGCTATCGCTACGATCAACCAATTACCAATACTGGCACATGACCACCCGAATGTAGCAAATTTTTACGCTAACCGTGGACTTGTTTATGCTATATTGAATAAATTTGATGAAGCAACTGAAGACTTCACGAAAGCACTTGAAATAAAATAAACATGTTTTCCGACACAAGCCGATGACATAAATAGGTTAAAACAATATCTCGTACAAATTATGGATAAAAGATTGGAAAACTAATACATCAATCAAAACGAAAGACACAAAACGGCTTTAGTTTAGTTAAAGTTTTCAACCGGTTTACTATCTTGTGACAGAGATGGTGTTCAAAACCAATAAAAGTTCTAAATATCAATATGGGTCATTTCGGTTAAAATAGGACAAAAGTTTTTTTTGAAAGTCGAAGTTGACGAGGGAAGTACCCCAACTGATAAATCGTGTTTCAACGAAACCGGGAGGGCTATAGGTAGTCGACGATGCTGATCCCGACGATCACCATGAATGCTGCTGCTAGGCCTTCAACGATCGATTTTCTGAAAAACCAGTTTTCGAGAAACTCTAAAGAACAACCAAAAGCTTTCTTAATGAGGCGTAATTGTAGTCCATAAATTTCTGATTAAAACGAGGCATCTCCCAGCTCTACACGACCTTTCTTTGCAAAGTTATAGAGTTTACAAG